TAACAGGAAAACCAAGTGCACTTAAAGAGAAATTGTTGTGTGTATCCAGGATTCCTGATACAACTGGGCAAAGTCAGGCAACAGCTACCATAGATGCTGTAAAGGCATGGAAACTAGAAAAAACACTTGTGGCAATGATTTTTGATACAACTCCATCAATCTCATCAAATTCAGGTTGGATAAATGGTTCTGCAAAGTTAATTGAAGAATACTTTAACAAAAAGTTAGTTTGGTGCGCCTGCCGACACCATATTTTTGAAAGAGTTTTGTCTTCTGTTTACTTAAAAGTTTTTGAAGAATGTAGATAACCAAATTATGAGCCATTAAGACACTTTAAAAATGAGGTATGGCCTAAGCTTTCATTAACTTCAGATACTACTTTTAGAAAATTAAAAATCGAAGAACCAGTATTAAAGACCAAACAAGCAGAAGTAATAATTTTGTGTGGTTTACTTAACCGGAAATCTCAAAAAATGTTAAGAGATAATCCTGGATACACACAACAATTTCTCTTTAAGTGCACTTGGTTTTCCTGTTACAACAATAGCCAAACGTTCCACTCAAGAATGTTGTCAACTTGCTTTGCAATTACTTAATCCAAAACAAATAAATATACAGAGGCACAAACCTGGAGCCTTCCATCATGCTAGATGAATGTGTACAATCTTGTACACATCAAAGATGTTTGTTTTTGCTGACCTGGCAGAATATGAAGAAAGTTTTATAGAGAAATTGTCACGATTTTGTAAATTTACTTTACTATTTTATGTGAAAATATGGCTTGCGTGCACAAGCACAGTCGATGCCCCATTTAATGACTTAGAATTCTACAAAGAAATGCTTATTTATAAAAAAATTGACAATGATGTTGCTGTTGCTGCCCTGGAAACATTTAATCGGCATCTTTGGTATTGAACTGAAGCAATGTCCCTTCTTTTATTATTTTCTGATTAGGTATCTGATCGAGATAAAACTAAAATTGCTAAAACAATTCTGAAAAATATTTAAAAAAACTGTGAACACGATTTTCCACAATTTCCTCTTCTAAAGCAGAGTACTTGGACTGATTTAATTGAACCAAAGTAACATTCTAAATTTATTCGGATATTCAAATGAGGAAGGCGGTTGGTTGGTAAAATCCCCAAAGTTTTAGAAAACTAACACAAATTTTAATCACATGTTTGAGCATATCAAATCACTGAAATCTGTAAACGATACAGCAGAACGAGCTGTTAAACTTGTTCAAGACTATGCAACATCTATTACAAAAGATGATGAGCAGAAAGAACTTCTTTTTCCGTGCAGTAAAACACCACCGAAAAGTTCTTTCTCACATAAATAAACAAGCAATTCAAAAACTTAATTTTTGAAAATATGCTTTAAGCAATCTCTTTTATTATACCTTAAAAATATTGTTATTTTGTTGTTATAATTTTAAAACAATGAGATTTTTAATTTCTTAGTACTTATTCCCATTGTGCTTTAATATTGTTAACTTATACCAATCATTTCTTTGCTTCTTTGTTTAATATTGTTAACTTATAGAGAGGGGGGGGGGGGGGTCATAAACCAGGTGAAAATTTATTTTTAATAAATTTTCATTTTTATTTATTACAAAACTATTTGAAATTATAATAGTTAATTATATTGGATATATATATTATATATATATATATATATATATATATATATATATATATATATATATATATATATATATATATATATATATATATATATATTATATATATATTATAATAAATATATAAAAGGAGTATATTAAGAATTGTGTTTGGGCAAAAACACATTAAAGGGGTTATAAGGGAAGGGGGGGTCGAATATGAATTTTTTTGAAAATAACTATTGATTAAATTTTATCAAACAAAATTACACAAGAATATTATAAACAATGCAAACATAGTTTATTATCAAAAATAATTTTAGTCCTTTGTGTTATTTTTTTAGAAAAAAAACACACAAATAAGAGCGGCGGGGGGGGGGGTCAAATATGAAAATTTTTTGCTTTTTTTTTTTTTTTTTTGCTTTTAGTAGATAAAAATACATATGAAACTAATTGAAAATCTAGAAATAGTTAAAAACTAAAAAAATTCATGTCGTTTTGGGACACCCTAATATATATATATATATATATATATATATATATATATATATATATGTATATATATATATATATATATATATATATATATATATATATATATATATATAACTGTACCTCAACTATCGTAACTCACATTTGACAAATTTTACAGGAGAGCCAAATGAAGTTACTACACTTCTTTTTCTGTTAAGAAACAGCTTTTTTTATTTTTAAAATTGATATTTGAAGTTCTTCATACATTTCAGTGGGTCTGAATAATATCTTTGACGGTTTCACTTAAGATAAAAATCTGAAAATCAGAGATTTTACAGTTACGATAATTGACCACTGGAGTACAGATACTGGGATATTTTTACTGGGGTAAAGTCATGATTTTAAAAAGTTTGTTTTTTCGAACTTTTTTTTATCAATAAAGGCTTATTAAAAAAAAATTATATGTAAATAAAAATATCAAAAAAAGGTTTGATAAGTGCTTTTTGTACTAATTTATATATATATATATATATATATATATATATATATATATATATATATATATATATATATATATATATATATATATATATATATATATATATATATATATATATATATATATATACATATATATATATATATATATATATATATATATATATATATATATATATATATATATATATATATATATATATATATATATTAGTAAAAAATCACTTATCAAACCTTTTTTTGATATATTTTTTTACATATCATTTTTTTTTTTTGAGCCTTTATTGATAAAAAAAAGTTCGAAAAAACAAACTTTTAAAAATCACGACTTTATTTTCTATTAATGTCATATCATTACGTAAGAAAAGATTCGCAGTGTCTCACAAAGTTTAAAAGATCATGTTCAGTAATGAGCTCACAACCGTTCCTCATTCGTTCTAATAAATCGTTATTTCCAATTGGAGCTATTTTTTCTTTTGTAGCATTCTTAGTTTTCGAATGTCTCTTCACAAAAGGTGAGTATTAGGGTAAAAAACGAATTTCATAGGGATCATAAACTATCATAAAAATTTGACAATGAATGATGAAAGTTAACGTTGTCCATCACTAAGGTAAACTCTTCTTCCTCCCCCAAAATACTTTTAAGTGTATTTAAGAATCTTTTAAAGATATCTGCTGTCACTCCTACGCCAATTATTGCTTCACTGTGGACTATGTTTAAAAATTTTTAATTCTTAAATCATGGTTATGTTACGGCTTCTTGATGACGATACGCGTTGATTTTGGGTCGTTCCTCGGAGACTGTATCCGTGGTTTCTTATCATATGAAGATTGAACGTTACAAAAATATCAAATGATATTTTTATAACGTTCCAATGTCAAGTTTAAATACCATGAAACATAAGTTTATCTTTCTTCTTTTTACCTTTGCAGTATTGTGTCTTTCACTGATGGGGCTTTAAATTTTGTATGTATAATTCAATTTTTTTAACCATCGCCATAATGAAGAGACATTGACATCGTTTCCCAATTCTACCTTTATCTCCTGTAGATTATAGTTTCTGCTATCTCCAATTAACTCATGTAACTTATTTCTTATTTCCTCAGTACAACCTGACTGTCAAAAACCACCTCTAACACCAGGATTGATATTACCTGTTGATAAATATCAATTTTTTGAAGTAATTTGATCATATCATTGATATGATCAAATTACATACTTCAACAATAATTTCTGAGCATTGTCTTTGTGCGCTATTCATTTTAGGGTTTTAAAAAATTAAAGAGAAAACTTAAATTGTATATAAGGAAATTAATTTAAATGAAGCAATAAAAGCAAAACTATTTGTTATGATAAAGAAAAACCGCCAGATTAAATGCAAAAAACCGCCAGATTAAATGCAAAAATCGGTATTACCTATACATATACCCGTACATATCATGCTTTTATATTAGGGTGAGTCTATTCGCACGCACGTGTGAATAGACTATTTCTTATTATAGTCTATTCGCACGTTTAAGAAAAAAATTTCAAGTTAGATTTTTAATACGAAATCTCTCACAAACAAAAAATGTTTATAACTTAAGTCATATATTTTGAAAGCAATTTAATTTTTTTAATCAATTACAATAAAAATAAATAAAATTACTTAAACATAATTAAATTTTTATTCAAAAAACAAACAAAAACGTGCCAATAGATAAAATAAACATTAAGAAATAATTCTTTTTTTTTTAATTAAAAGATTGCCTGCCCAACCCTCCCTTGCCAAAACCCTCGTTGTTGTATTTATACTTATTATTAGATAGGCAGTCAAAAAGTAGTCAATATGTATATACACTACGGTGCGCATATCCTTCAAAAGTCAGTCAACGTAAGTACTGCGTTAGTACTCCACTGCGCTAATTTTATTTTAAAGTTAAAAACTAGTAACAATAAATAAAATTTTTTAAAATTCCCTTTAAATTCGATGATCTTTACCTTTCTTTTGTTAAACGTGCGAATAGACAATAATTAAATATAGTTTATTCGCACATGAAAAACCTGCGAATAGACACTCCATTTATATTATACATTCGAGAAATCTTTCCATCTTATATTTTAATATTTGTATATATTCATACATTTTTTATACTTTTTTCAACAATAAAAGTTCAAAATGTTTATAAAACATTTATTTTCTATTTTATACAAACTATCTAAACACAAAAGTTTCATATTAAAAGCCTAATAATTGTATCTCTTATCTAATTATTAAAATTATAATTGTTAGAAAAATTATTCACAACGTAACAGCGGTATTCTTTTGTTGGATTTTTCTCATGTAGAGAAAACGAGAGAAAAGATTACGTATCTATTTCAAATTATTTTAAAATTTTTAAAATTGAAACTAAATGTATTTAATGTCCAGATAAAACGTTAAAGTAATTTCATAGTTTCATGTTTAATATAAAACCATGTTAGGCTTATTTTGTGTGTTTCAAGTTATGTGGAATACTTTTTTTGCACAAAAACAGCATTTTTTTCCGTTAAGCCAATACATGAATATCAGCAACATTGACAACATTGATCAATTTCTTTGCCAGAAGCAAAGCTTATCTTTCAAACTCTGCAACTGTAATGAAAATTGCTTTGAGTCAAGAACTTGCTGCATTGATAAGTTGTGGAATAATACTAATCCTATACCGTTGAATGCCTACCTAGCTATGTTTGTAAATAAAACAAAATCTTTTAAAGATATGGTATGCGAGAAAGTTTTAGAGCCTGCCGTGAAGTTTACAAACAAAATTGAGGAAGTTTTAATGGTACATTCTTGCAATAATTCTGCTAAAACGATACATATTAACAAGTGCATAAAGAACAACACCGCATCGAATCTTGGAAACGTCCCCGTTATAGGATCTGATAACACAATATATAGAAATGCTGCTTGCGCTTTTTGTAACTTTGTCGTACCTTACCCCGTTAAGTTTTTATTTGAATGCCGGAACGAAATTAAAAGTGCACAAGAAAATGTAACCATTTTTCAAACATATGAAACTGATGGAGTGCAAGAGATTCTTAAAAACTACAAAAATTGCAATGTATCGTTATATAGAAAGAATGCACATGTTATCAATTGCTCTTCTCATAGCTATTTGAATGACAGAACGTGTCCGAAAAGTAATAAATACTACGATTTATGCCATGCGTACTACGGATTATATAGGAACTACAGAAACTACGATTGCTATAAATGTAACAACGAAATTAAAATTAAGAAAACACCGATAAAAAATATAAATAACTCGCAAAACGATTATAATTTTACAAATAGTACAAACTCATTTATTGTACCAAAGGCAATGAAATTTAGTGACACTTTAAAGATAAACGAAATCCAAAGCTGTGAAAATAAATTTATATATAATCCCTCGACCAGTAAATGCGAGCCAATTATTTGCAACTATGGATTCTCGGCAGCCGGTTCTGGATGTGTAAAAAATAAAAATTACTTACAAAGATATGATACAGAAAACGCAAATTTTCAAAACTGTCTGCTGAACCCAAAAGCAGGTTTTTTTTGGCTTTTTAATGGTTTTATAGACACAAAAACCATTAAATATAATTTCCGTGAGATATCTGGAGCTCAAATACAGTATCAGAATTTAACAAACAAAACTTTACTCAAATGGCTCACAACACTAAACTTAACGTTTTTAAATGGACTCACTAAAAAAAATTTTAGTTTTCTAAACTCGGATTCTCTTTTTATTACATCAATTTACGATCAGGTAATGACTGAGTTGTATAAATTCGATGTTTCTAGAAGTTTTACAAAGAACAAAATATGTGCAGAACCTCAGGTGTTTGTTCTCGACGTCAACGCCAACTTTTCCAGCTTATGCGATTATGTAACTGTAAATAAAACCATAAGAAATCGTGATTTTGTTATGTGGATAGAAGTAAATTATCTGGGAACTGTAAAAATGATGAGTACGTGTAACCTTTTTCATTTACAATCTGATTGCGCACTTCGAATTCTGATAGATAACTATGTTATAGTTAATCAAACTTTAATTTATAGCTATTTAAACACCGAATACAAATTTAGTTTCGACCAATTTATACCTTTTGCTAAAGGTGTTGGAGTGTGCGAATCGACATTCTTTGCGCTTAAAAAACAAAGTACTTTAAAAGCATTTGTAAATCTTATGTTCCCATTTTTAACGTTTGTTAGTATTGCGTGCTATCTTTTCGTATTTGCAACGTACACTTATTTTAAGGAATTAAGAATAATTTCAAACTTTAATTCAATAACTTTATGCGTTTATTTATTACTTTCTGATTGCACTTTGTTACTTTCTGAATATTTCAGTAAAAAGAATATGTTTTGTAAAATTGCTTCTGTAATTTTACACTGGAGTTTTTTGGCAGGTTATAGCTTGGTTCTATGCATGGCTGTAGAATTGGCTACTACATTTTCTAGCGTAGCTTCAAAGTCTTTGAACCAATGGAAGGTTTTTAAAATCAATATATTTGTTTCTCTATTAATTCCAACTATAATTGTTTTAATAAATTTATCACTTGAGTACACTGGTACAACATACATCGGCTATGGGAATGATGGCAATTGCTGGATTGATGGATTTTACGCAAAGCTTTTTTCATACATTCTTCCACTGTCCGTGTTTACACTTTCTTCGATACTTTGTTTGTGCATCACAATTTATAAAATAGAAAAACTTGAAAAAAGTGCCAAAAAGACATTAGGTGATGGAAAAATGTCACGTGTCAATTTACCTTTAGTTGCTATGAAACTAACATTAATACTTGGTGTAACTGATGCTTTGGGTTTTATTCAAATCACAAAGCCGTATTTAACTAAATGGGAAACTGAATTCAACTATGTGTTTTTCGTTCTTTACAACTGTAGTCGATCATCAAAAGGAATTATGTTATTTATTGTTTACATTTGCAGAAAAAAGGTTATTCAACTCTTCAAAATAAGTTTTGCTCGATTAACCAATCGCATACAACAAAAAACAATTTACGAATTAAACTCTTATGTGAAACAAACATCGTCATTTAAATAATAGTCATCAATAACTTTTAATTATGTGTGTGTAATTGCTTGCTTAATTACAAGCTAGAAACAATTGAACTTGGAATTAGCTATAAAAGTTATCGAGATGTGAGAAGAGACATTTACAATACTGTTTTAAAAATTAAAGATAAAATACATTTTTTTAAATTCTAATTTAAGCATCATCTTACGTTTTTGTATAAAAAAGTTACATAAAAAAGTTTTGCTTTTTAATTACAACGTGTGTTACTGTAGAAAATGTTCTATTATTCTACGTTTCTAAGTTAAAACATACATGCATTCAAATATGTATCATTAGTGTTGTTAATTATATCTTAAGATTGTAAAAGTAAAATGAAAATGGGATATTTTATTAAGCTTTAAAATCTATCAATGAATTTTAAAATTCTTTAAAAGCTCATTAACTTTACCCATTTATAGTTGGGCCATGTCTTAGGGAAAAGCTGGGTCCCGGACGGCAGGTAACTCCAGTTACTTGATGTACAGCTAAACTAAAGAGACTAACTATCATATTAAAAAATATCTATCATATTATCCCAAAGCAATTGGCTGGGAGTGCAAGATATTGTTTTCCACCATCAGAAGAACAACATATCAACATATTTGATTCACATATTAAGATATCTAATTTTTATGTAAACTAATAACTTTTTATTGATTTTATTGATTTTTATTGATTTTATAGATACATTTTATTTACAAAATTTATTTAAAAAAAAAACAGTTCTTTAAATACTTTAATTCACTGGTTTTAAAACTAGTATTTGTGAATGAGGTATGATCAGGTGGTATCGGACAAATGTTTGAAGGGTGGTTCCAAACAACTTAATCCGTTTACATATTATAAATGAGCAACTTTTTTATATAAATAATAATACACTTAATATAATACACAAATCGATGATAATTATTCATTTAATTCCAATAAAAAGATTTGAAAAAAGTGTTTTCAAAGTGTTTATTTTCATTAGTAAAGGCCAATATTTTTATTTCCAAGTGACAATTTATATATATCAGAAGCAATTTTTAAAAACGTGTTAAGAACAGTCCAATGCTAACTAATTATATAATATATTTGTGTCACACGAGTAAAAAAGAGGTAAAAACGTGGTTAAACTATGTGTCCGGGGCTACCCTCCAATTTTGAAACATGCCCTTTTTCTAACATTTTTTCTTTTATGTTTTGTATATTATTAAGGTACACAATAATTATATTTTTGTTTCTAATTCGATAGATAAATGTTTATACTTTTAAAAAAGTCTTTTGATACTTTGTTTTCTGTAAGTATATTTGTGCAATCTTTTTTTTCTACTAAATGTCCGGGGCTACCCGACTTCATATATACTTTTTATGCAGCCGTGGCGCAATTGTTAGAGTTCTGGCTCAGAACCAAGAGGTCTGAAATTCAACGCCATCTCTAACCCAATAAGCAACATTAACGAGGAAAAAGGTGCGACTTCTGGGAGAACTTTAAAAACCACAATATATATATATATATATATATATATATATATATATATATATATATATATATATATATATATATATATATATATATATATATGTATATATATATATATATATATATATATATATATATATATATATATATATATATATATATATATATATATATATATATATATATATATATATATATACATGGCCTACTATATTATACGGCCGTATATGTTACATTTTAGAGGCCGATTCTAAGAGGCCTATTTTCGCACAAAAAAAGTCAACAAGTTGAATGATAAAACTATTAATTTTAAACTTGCATATTATGCAAAATAAAAAGCAACTTGCATAATAAGTAGAACTTGCAATTATATAAATATATATATATATATATATATATATATATATATATATATATATATATATATATATATATATATATATATATATATATATATATATATATATATATATATATATATATATATATATATATATATATATATATATATATATATATATATATATATATATATATATAATAACTGTTTTAGAAAGTTAATAAATACTAAAAAAGCTGAATCATATCATGGTTAACAAGTGTGTTGCATATGGTTGTAAAACTGGATACAACAGTTCTTTAGAAGATAAAAAAATTGCTTCTTTTCATTTTCCGTTAAAAAATCAACAGTTACTGAATTATTGGGTTCATTTTGTTAATCGTACTGATTGGGTGCCTTCACCAAACTCCGTTTTGTGTGAAAAGCATTTTGATGAAAAGTTTATCATCCGTGGTAAAAAATGCAAGTTAAATTGGAATCTAGATCTTATTCCAGAAATTTTCTCCAGTGATTGCTTAAAACGTCCTTCCACATTACCATCGCTTATTGCGAGAAGAGCACCTAAAAGTCGTATTTTTCAAGAAGATGAACTTAGTTCTTTTTCTTAAAATGATAAAGTTACTGAATGGACCATGCTAAGCATTAAACATTCACCAGAAGGTTTCCAATTTAAAAAACATCTCAATTGTGTAGTTTATTATAATTTAATATTTGATCCTATAACATTTTTTCCATCAATTTTTGAATCAATAAAAATTGATTATTGCTTATGTGTAGCTTTGCAATATAAAGGAAATAATGTTTCACTTCCTCCATGGTTATCTAAAGGTCGTAATTCTAAATTAACTAGTTTGAGTATGTTAGAAAATCTTGCAGCGTACATAAAAAATACCGCTTCTTCTAATAGAAATATACTTTTTGATGAAATAAATAGTCGAACATACTATAAAGCCAAGGGTCAACCACAATATTCTGCTGATATGATTTATTATATGCTTTATTATATGCTTTATTATATGATTTTTTATATACTTTATTATATGATTTTTTATATACTTTATTATATGATTTATTATATAATTTATTATATGCTTTATTATTAAGATATACATCTAAACAAGCATATGAAATTTTACTAGAATCATTTCCATTACCTTCAATTTCTTTGTTAAATAAAATAAAACAAGGTGGAGTTGATGCAATAAAGGCTGTTAAAACATTTCGTGAGAAAGGTTCAATACATAAAGATGTAATATTAATTGTAGATGAATTTTATCTTCAGAAACAAGCACAATATTGTAGTGGTATTTATGTGGGTGCAAATGATACAGGTACTTTGTACAAAGGAGTTGTTGCATTTATGATAGTTAGTTTAAAAAAATCAATTCCTTTCATTATTAAAGCGATACCTGAAGTTAACATAAGTGGTAAATGGCTTTCAGATCAAATATCCGATTCTATTAGTTCTCTTTCGCTATCTGGTTTTAAAATTCGAGGTGTTGTTACCGATAATCATAAATCGAATGTAAGTGCATTTAGTTTGCTTCGTTCCAAATTTGGTAATCAATCAAATTTCTTCATTAATCATCCTGATAGTCCAGATACTAAAATATACTTATTTTATGATAGTGTTCATCTTGTTAAAAATATCAGAAATAATTTATTACACTGTAAAAAATTTGTCTTTCCATCCTTTATATTCAATATAAAAGATGATTCTAATAATTGTCCAGCTGGTTATATTACTTGGGGAGATTTTTATCATCTACATTCTAAAGATGAGAAACTTCAAGGCAATTTACGAAAAGCTCCAAAAATTTCATATCAAAGTCTTCACCCTGGTAACAAAAAGCAAAACGTTTCTCTTGCACTATCAATTTTTGATGAAACAACAATTGCAGGTTTCAAGAGTTATTTTCCAGAACGTAAAGACATTTCTGGTTTTCTTACAATTTTTTACAAATGGTGGACTATTTCAAATTCTAAAGAGCGATTTAGCCCAAATAAACTTGGTAATGCGATTATTCTTAATGATGATAAAACAACTTTTTTTCGACAATTAGCTAATTGGATTGAACTTTGGCAGAAATCTCCATATTTTACCTTATCACAACAAACATCATCGGCTCTCATCACAACTCTGCGTTCTGAAGCAATGCTTAACTCTGCGTTCTCAAGCAATGCTCAATAAGGTCATCACCTTATTAAAGAAGGATATTTATATGTACTTACTTCACGGCTTCAAAGTGACCCAATAGAGCGTAGATTTTCGCAATATCGACAGATGAGTGGTGGAAGATTTCTAGTTAGCTTACTAGAAGTTCAACATTCTGAAATTATTTTAGCATGTCGGTCTTTAATTAAGGAGAATATAAATTTTTGGGATGAAGGTCTAAAAAACAACCAAAATAACCCAATTAATAATGAATTACTGGCAATATTAGATTTAAACTCAAACGAGATATCTGAATCAACTCTCTCACCTGAAGCAGAAGAAGTTGCAACAACAATAGCAGGTTACATTGCTAAAAAATTAATCAAAAGAAGCAAATGTAATTATTGCAAACCTTTGCTAGCTACAGATACAAGCAGTATAATTATTTGTCCATATCTACAAATACTTTCCAGAGGTGGTCCTACAGTACCATCACTTTCACTTAAAGATTTTACATGTGGATATTTTGCAGTCTTAGATAACCTTTCAGATTTATTAACTAAACAAGGTGCTAATGTCAAAGACGTATCAAGCTTTGTTTTATCAAAATATTTTCCAACAGTTTGTTTTACCTGTCAGGGCCGTGCGGTGCTATGATACAAAGAGGCGGCCGCCTCAGGCGGCACCATTAAGGGGCGGCAAAGTAGCGAAATCAAAATGCAATTTCAGGGTTGCAATAATAATTAGGTACTAAATCATAAACTGGACTCATTTAAATTTTAATTACTACCAAACTCGTGAATGTTTTTATCACTTTAAAAGTTTTTTCATTGTCCACATTTTTCTATAAAAATAAAAAAAAAATTTCTCCCTCATTTAGCATTCGCTTTTGCTATTCCTTTCAATATGTATAAAAACGTTTTGAAACGCATATTAGCGTGGACTATTTTCTTATTATGTTTCAAAATACTGTTTTCAAACGTTTTTAAACGTTTGTGTTTGCCTGTCTTTGCAAGTTAAATTTTAACTTTGTAATGTCATCATGTTTTTAACTGTTAAAAACATGATGACATTACAAAGATTTTACAAAATTTTTACAAAAATTTATTAAAGCAGTGACAGCAATCGTCAGCATGGAACAAAAAAGAAAAAAATTATCTGGAAGTCAATACAAAAAAAAAACGCTTAAAGAATGAGGAACAAGAAAGAAAGCTCAACAATGTTATGAAGAAATTCTTAGTACAAAAGTGCGGTTTAGATGAGCATCTACATCAGCAGCAACTGATTTGGCAAATAACAACACAGTGCCGCCCCAATCACTTCCAGAAGAAGTTGTTGAAGAGAGCCAAATACTAACACCATCAGATCTTCATGAACAGCCGGGCAGCACATCCACGTCAACTGCGACGGCCTTGGATTTGGCAAATAAAAACACAGTGCCGCCTCAATCAATTCCAGAAAAAATTGTTGAAGAGATTCAAAAAATAACATCATCAGAAGTTCATCAAGAACCGGGCCGCATTAGCAGTGGCAGTCAGCAGGTATTAAAAGAAATTCCTTCAGATCCTGCATTATGGCTTACTTTCTGCATGTCATCTCAAACTCGTCAACTACTGGTTGAGAGGGGTCCTCATCAAATTAAAGAATTCGAGTTTCCTATTAATAAAGGAAAGCGTAGATTTTTGCCCTCGTATTATTCGAAAGTGTTGAGCAATGGTGAAGTCGTTGAGAGAAGTTGGCTTATTTACTCTATTGCAATTGATGCCGTTTTTTGGTTTTGTTGTATATTATTTGATAATTCGTCTGATATTAGTGACTGGCCCAAAAAAGGCTATTCTGACTGGAAAAATCTTATAAGAGCCCTCACAATGCACGAAAAGTCTGTAAATCACTGAAATGCTTTTAGAGCATGGAAAGAATTGGACATTCGATTGAAGCAGAATAAAACTATTGACGCTGAATATCAACGAATTATGGATATGGAACTTCAGTATTAGAGAGGAGTTATAAAAAGAATTATGTCAATAATTAAACTATTGGCCTCACAATGTTTAGCTTTTCGTGGATCAACTGAACATTTGTTTCAACCTAATAACGGGAACTTCCTAAAGTTGGTAGAATTGCTTTCTGAGTTTGATCCAGTTATGGAAGAACATATCAGGAGAGTTCAACGAGAGTCTGATAAAGGTCAGTGACTTATCTAAGCAATAATATACAAGATGAATTGATAAATTTAATGGGAAATTCAATTTTAAGAAAAATTGTCGAAATAACAAAAATCGCTAAACATTTTTCTATAATCGCTGATTGTACCCCCGACGTCAGTCATTATGAACAGCTCTCCTTAACAATAAGAGTTGTTACTTTTAACTCCATTCAAAATAAATATGAAATTGCAGAATTCTTTATTGGTTTTTTTGAAGCTAGTGATTCAACCGGAGAAGGTTTGGCAAAACTTATTCTGACACATTTGGAAAAATTAGGTTTTGAGTTAAAGTGGCTTAGGGGACAAGGCTATGACAACGGAGCCAATATGAAAGGATTAAGAAAGGGTGTTCAAAATAGAATACTTGAAAAATATCCAAGGGCTTTTTATGTGCCCTGCGCATGCCATTCTTTAAATCTTGTTGTGAATGATGCAGCGTCTTCTACTACAGAAACAACATTTTTTTTTTCTATTGTACAAGAACTTTACACTTTTTTTTCTGGTTCTACAAAGCGTTGGGAAGTGCTAAAAAAATATGTTTCTCAATTAACTCTGAAACCATTAAGTGCTACTAGGTGGGCAAGCAGAATAGATGCTTTAAAACCTTTACGATTTCAACTTTGCGAAATCTATGATGCATTGATTCTGATAATAGAAGACGTCAATAGAGATGCAGAAACTAAAGTTAAAGCGAGAGGGTTAGCAAAAAATATTAAAAATTACAAGTTTATATGTGGAGTAATTCTTTGGCATGATATTTTGTTTGAAATTAATTCAGTTTCGAAGCTTTTGCAATCTGTTACTATAAATATATCAGATTGTGTAAGGATGCTATCAGAAACCATAAAAAAAGTGAAAAGTTATAGACAATCTGGATATATTCAGATGAAAATTGCTGCAAAGGAGATAGCAGAGAATCTCGAATGCAGTACAGAATTTCCTGATGACACTGAAGTTAGACCCAGAAGGAAAAAGCGTCAATTTGACTATAAAAAAGCTGTCGATGAACCCTTAACAGAGGAGAAAAAATTTAAAATAAACTTTTTCAACTATATTCTGGACATTACCCTTAATTCTCTGAATGAACGATTCACGCTTCTGGAAACCCATAGCAAAAAATTTCAGTTCTTATATGACATTTTAAAACTCAAGGATATAGATGACAAAACGCTAGAAAGTTATTGTTCCAGTCTTGAGTTTATACTTTCGGTTGAAAATAAAACAGATATAAATGCAAATGACCTTAGAGAAGAATTGCGTGATGTATCCAGAATGCTACCATATTCTACGAAACCTTTGGATGTTTTAAATTATTTATGCCAAAATAGCTTAATTAGTTTGTATCCAAATACTGTTGTAGCTCTGAGAATTTTATTAACTCTCCCTGTATCTGTAGCTAGTGGGGAAAGAAGTTTCTCCAAATTAAAATTAATAAAAAACTACTTAAGAAGTTCAATAGGACAAACAAAACTTAAAAATCTGGCATTAATTTCTATTGAATCTGCAATGGCTAGCACTCTAGACTACACATCAGTAATTAACGAATTTGCTAAAGTTAAAGTTAGAAGAGTAAAGCTGTAATACTGTACATTGTTGTAGTTTATAGTTGAAATCATTATTTTAAAATTTCAAAATAAAAAGTAGAATTCGTACATTTTGTGCAGTTTTTTTTTAAATCACAATCGAAGGTTATTTTAAAGAAAAACATTTAAGGGGCGGCATTTCGAAGATTTGCCTCATAATGAGAAAATCTACCGCACGGGCCTGTTACCTGTGATATACACAAAAAATGGGGTTTTAATTTTACTTCTAAAATCATAATTAATATTTTTTTTAACAATAAGCAGAACTTAATCAATGCTACTGTACGAAAAGATGCTGTAAAAAGTTTTAAAAGTAGACAGAGAGAAAAATAACCCTATATATCTATATCTATATCTATATCTATATCTATATCTATATCTATATCTATATCTATATCTATATCTATATCTATATATATATATATATATATATATATATATATATATATATATATATATATATATATATATATATATATATATATATATATATATATATATATATATATATATATATATATATATATATATATATATATATATATATATATATATATATATATATGTATACCTATATATCTATATATCTATATATATATATATATATCTATCTATATATCTTTATATATATATATATATATATATATATATATATATATATATATATATATATATATATATATATATAAATATATATATATATACCTATATATATATATATATATATATATATATATATATATATATATATATATATATATATATATATATATATATCCAGCTTCTGTATCTAAAGTGATTTCCTGCTTAGAGTCTTCTACAGCTTGCGGCCCAGACAACATACCTGTTATAGTCTTGCAAAAGTGTTCTCCGGAGCTGTCATCCATCCTTTCAAAACTATTTAACAAGTGCTTATCAGAGTCTTGTTTTCCAGCCTGCTGGAAAGCAGCATCTGTTATCTCTATTTTTAAAAATTCTGGAGAGCGATCTGATTCGTCTAACTACCGTCCCATTAGTCTTCTTCCTATCATAAGCAAGGTTTTTGAATCTTTAATTAACAAACACTTAATCTCTCATCTCGAATCTCATAACCTACTTTCTGATCATCAATATGAATTTTGATTTTCTTGTTCTACAGCTGATTTGATAACAGTAATAACCGATAGGTTGTATCGCGCATTAGATAAAGGGGGAGAGGTTAAGGCCATCCCTCTTGACATTTCTAAGGCGTTTGATAAAGTTTGGCATGCTGGTCTTCTCCATAAGCTTTCTTCTTACGGTGTATCTGGAAACATCTTTAAGATTATCGAATCCTTCCTTTCCAATCGTAGTATAAAATTTGTCCTTGATAGACAGCACTCTTCTTCTTATCCTGTAACCTCAGGGGTTCCTCAAGGTTCAATCCTTGGCCCTATACTCTTTTTAATTTACATTAACGATCTTCCAGATTTTCTCACATCTAAGGTGGCATTGTTCGCTGATGATTTTACCATTTATTCTTGTCACGATAAGAAGCCAACTCCCTCTGATTGCTTGCAGGGGGCATCTGAGCTCGAAAAGGATCTCACTTCCGCTACAGCATGGGGCTCACAGTGGCTGGTGAACTTTAATTCAGATAAAACTCAATTTTTTTCAGCCAATCGTTATCGCAATAATTTAGACCTTCCTATATTTATGAACGGTAATGTACTCGATGAGTCTCCTACCCTTCATCTTCTAGGATTAACTCTTACTTCTGATCTTTCTTGGAAACCTTATATCAAATCCGTTGCAAGATTAGCCTCTGCTAAAGTCGCTTCTCTTTATCGAGCTCGTCACTTTCTTACTCTGGATTCTATTCTCTATCTCTATAAATCTCAAGTCCGGCCTTGTATGGAATACTGTTGCCATATCTGGGGTGGATCTTTTAATGATGCCCTTTCTCTTTTAGACAAGGTGCAAAGACGCATTGTAAACATAGTTGGATCTGTTCTTGCAGCCAACCTTCAACCTCTGTCACATCGTCGTAATGTTGCTTCTCTTTCTCTTTTCTACAAATACTATAATAAGCACTGCTCTAAAGAGATAGCGTCTCTTGTGCCATCTACAAAATTCATTCTCGTGTTACTCGTCATTCAACTAAGTCTCATCCTTTTTCTGTTACTATTCCTAAGTGCTCCAAAAACTCTTATTCGTCTAGTTTTTTTCCTCGAACATCAGTTCTTTGGAATTCGCTTCCTTCATCTTGCTTTCCTGATTCATATAATTTGTAATCTTTTAAGTCGTCTGTCAATCGTTATTTTGCTCTACAGTCTTCATTTTTTCTCTATTAGTAACTTTTAACACTAATTAGTGGTTGCTTGCAGCCTTGTTGGAAACGAAAATGTTAAAAAAAAAAAAAATATGTATATAATATATATATATATATATATATATATATATATATATATATATATATATATATATATATATATATATATATATATATATATATATATATATATATATATATATATATATATATATCTTTATAACTTTATATATATATATATATATATATATATATATATATATATATATATAAACATAAAGATAGATAAAACAATAAAAGAACATAAGTCTAAACCTTGGTTTTCTTTGTAAATTTTTTTGTAAAAATCGTGTTGTCAATTTAAATGTATAATGTACAAATATAAAAATATATATTAGATACAAATACATGTATAATATACATAGATATATATGTTTATAAATACACAAATCTCTATGATTAATTATCGCTGCTAAATACACTTTTCTTTGTACTCGAAATTACATTTAGTCTGGATGATGAGTTTTTTCTCTGTAATTGCGCAGCCATCTTTTTAATAAATAGGCCTCTTAGAATCGGCCTCTAAAATGTAATATATACAGCCGTATAATATAGTAGGCCATGATATATATATGTAATATATATATATATATATATATATATATATATATATATATATATATATATATATATATATATATATATATTTGTATATTATATTTGTATATAATATACAAATATATATATATATATATATATATATATATATATATATACATATATATATATGTATATATATATATATATATATATATATATATATATATATATATATATATATATATATATATATATATATATATATATATTTATACTACTAAAATACAGGGACGAGCAACTTTGTTTTCATGCGATTTTGACGAGAGGGCTGAAAGTTAAATATGTTTAAAATTTTTTTATTGAAGTTTAACATTCACATGGTTTTGATACAAAAATTAACAATTTGGTACTAATATTAACAGTTATTCAGAGTTATTTTTTGTTTCTCATTAAATAACATCTTAATCTAATAACTCATTAAATTTATGTCAATTTATAGCAAAAAAGAAATCTTATTTTTATAAGACCTGTATTAGTAACTTTAATCTTTAATTGGTAAATAAAATGATCTTATGTAGTTAACCAAAGGATCTTATGCAGTAAACAAAAGGATAAATTATAAAAAACTTAAATTAGCAACTTTAAACTTTAATTACTTGAAACCATTTAAATGACTTCATTAAAAATTAAAATTAATTCATAATTTATTAATCTTCAAGGACTTCAACATACACATTTGATTTTATTTTTACAGTACTGAGAATGAATTTCGTAAGAGAGTACCACCAAATACTCATTTAATTTTAAATCAAATTTTCCTAAATGTTCAACAAAACCAAGTAAATTCTTCGTGAATATTTTTTCAATCCTTTAAGTTAACGTTTGCAAAGTTATTAGTTATATGTTCATTCTATCTTCAGTTAATTTTAATTTTAAATAAGCAATTAAACCACACTGCATATTTCAAATGCAATTAGAACAACTGCAAAATGAAATAGTACCAAAAGAAGTAAAATATCGTTTTAATTGATATTTTCATAATAAATGTTAAAAACATTGTGTTTAAACTAGCAAATAAATAGAAAATAGATGTAATATAAAACAGCTTTTATCAACCGCTCCCCATAAGACACATCGTTGATTATACTAATTTGATATCGTGAACAATATTTTAAGTTTCTCTATAAATTGATTCTTCAGCTTGTCCATTATCTTAGTCCATTATCTGATTTCAGTTCAAGAAATTCAATTTTAACAGCCGTAGCGCAGTGGAAGCAGCCATAGCACATTGGGCAAGTTTAATAATATCAGTAAGGAGGGAGGCGTGAGCTTCCTTTAAAATGCTCTTCCGCGGTGCTCTGTTTATATTTTTCTATTCATTTTTCAGATCTCAGTGTTGATGTTTACTACAATTTAATTTGCAAAGACTCCAATAGTCATATGCTCGGCTTGGGGGTATACATACGCATAAACTCACCTATTTGTCGTGAAACCAGGTTCAAATCTTTAGACCATTCTTGTATGTGCTTCCGCTTAGCACCTCTTCACTCTATCACCTTTTTTCTCTGTTCTTTATTGTTCTTCTTCCCAAAACTGCACTTTTTTAGATGTAATTTTTCTAATTAAATTAACCATGCCCTCTCTCTTTACCTTTTTTCCAATATTGTTATTATAATGACTTTAATGCTAATCACTATGATTGACTCTAACGCCACCATTTCTGCTGGCACTAAAGACTATAACTTCTGCATTTCTCAATCTTTTATTCAGATAGTTAACTTTGTGACTTGTTTTTATGACAACCTTAATCATTTACCTTCACTACTTGATTTATGTCTTGTTTCTGACCCTAGTTTATGATCAGTTTCTCTCTCACTTTCCTTAGGTGGTTCTGATCATGCAACGATCTCTATAGATCTTTTATCTCGTAATTCTTTTTCGCACTGCCTACTACTACCTTAAAGCTGACTGGGATTCTTTTTGTGATTTTCTTTGTGACGGTCCTCAGCTTGATGTCTATTTCTCCTAGCTGATAAATGCGCCTCCTACGTAACCTCCTGGGTTTAAGCAGGAATGGAAGCTTTTATTCCTTTTCGTCGGTTCCCAGTCAAGTCTACTCCATGGTTTTCACCTTCTTGTGCCGCTTTTATATATAATTGTAATAATTTTTTTCATGTTTTTAAAAAAAATAACTCTTTTGGGAACAAACAGCTATTTATTATTGCAAGAAATCAATGTAAATAGGTGTTGTTTGATGTTACGCTCCATTATTCTCAGTTCACTAAATCTCGTATCTTATTTCAGAAGTTACTAATATCAAAATCAAACTCCTCTTATTTGGTTTCTAAGCTCCAATTTAATAGTGGTTGCTGGTAGCCTTGTTGGGAGTGAATCAGAATAAAAAAAATAAAAATAATAAAACAAAAAAAAAATATTTATATATTTCCCATTAAAAGCCTTGCTTCTAAGAAATAATAAATTTGACATTGTTTACAAATTTAATTGTACTACTGCAATATTTGCTACTTAGGACAAACTGCCCAAAACTTTTCCGACGGATTGATGAATATTTTAAGAAAGATAAAAAATCATATTTTTCATGATTTTAAGGAATAACATTGAGTGTCAAAGCCTCCTCTGATTGCTTTTCTTTTTAGGATTCTTTTCAAAGCGATTATAAATTAAAAGTTAAAGAAAGCTTACATATAAAGTGGAAATGACCCGGTTTAAACAAACAACTTCAATATAAATTTCAATTTTTAATTGTTATGATTAGCTGGTTTTATTAATTGTTTTTTGTTGTTGTACAATGTTTTTTGACGTTGATTATATATATATATATTTTGTAATACTTGTGACCTTTTGTATTTTTAAGTATTTTTGTATTGAATTCTGAGAATAGCGCATTTTAATATTGTTTATGATTTTAATATTGTTATAGATTTGCAGCAGCAAGTAAACCACTGTCTTCAATAATGGTAAAAGTCAAGCTTTTTTTATAATCCCTTCCTTTAACAATCGCTTGATGGTTTATGCACATTTTAATTTGTTCTACTTGAAGCACAATTATTGAACTACACTTACTGTTTACTTACTTGAAGCACATTATTGAAGAACACAGAATGTTGTTGGAAAAATTAATATATTTAAAAACTAATATAAAAACTTACTCAAAATAACTCAAGTTCACTATATTTAAGTTTAACGTCGCTCATAATATAAACTTAAATATAGTCTTTTAAAATACGAGAAACGTTTTTGGTTAAAGTGATAATAATTGAATTATTCTCTAAATAATTGTTGTTAAAACTGTTCTTGCTTTATTTTTATTATTTGTTTGTTGCATAATAATCTTTTTAACGCTCTACGCATTTTATAACGATATTTTATTGAAATTTTGTTAAATATTGTAGAACCAATTTCGATATCCTTTAAAAGGTTTGTTAAAAAATGACGTATGGCCATCCTCATCATCTTTGAGTCCCTGTCTGTTTTAATTATATTTTTATACTACAAAGTTATAAAAGTTTTATTTAATGTTAAAATGAAGGGAAAAAAATATCACTTACACTTCACTCACAAAATGAACCTATTTTGAACACGTACACACACACACACACACTCACACACACACACACACACACACACACACACACACACACACACACACACACACACACACTGATGCAATGATTTATGGATCTATCTGACAAAACGATCCAAAGTTTAACACTAACTAGCCACGATAAAAAATGGGGTAAATGTGTGATGTATTATAGAAACAAAAGTTTATACAATATAAAATGAGAGCAGATGAAAACGTTAAAAAAAAAAAACTTACAAAATTTAAAAAAAGTTCAAAAATCAAATATATTTTGAAATGAATTGTAACATTTTACCAATAGTTTTATTGTTGTTTCATTTCTTCTCTTCACTTTAGGCAGATCATATACAACTACATTTTTTATCGATAAATTTATAGCAACTACATATAAGTATATAATCCAACTCACAACATAAGTATACAATCAAAATAGTTTTTTAATAAGAAATTTTTAATACATCATATTATAATTTTTTTAAAATGACTAGACTTGTAAGAAAATCTAAAAAAGAAAACAGATAAGATTTAGTATTTTAACACTAAAAAAACACACCAAAAAACACCAAAATTCACCAAAACAACTTTTTTTGTACATTCCCGAGTAAGAGCATTATGACTTTTAGCTTTGAATTTAAGTTTTGTATTTTTCGATTTAATTTTATTTTTAATTTTCAGAGCATTCTTTTCGAGAATATATAATTTTGTTTGCCTTTTAAACAATAGTCCATTTAGGTCTTTTTTTTAAACTTTTTTTAAGCTTTTTTAAGATTTGAACGACTTAATAACTCTTAATACCGACTTTTAGTCTTATTAGGATAACAATTATAGAAACTATTTGAATAAAAGTCTAAAAAAGAAACAAGTTGCATTTTATTTTTATAAAATGTCTATTGCAGTGAATATTTTCAATTCAATTTGGTCTTTATGATTTCTCCATGATAACTTGTACACCAAAAAACTTTTATAAAAAACGAATAGTTTCTTTAAGTCTTGTATAAATCAAAGCTAACACCAACAATAAAACACTTCCGATTTTAAAGGCATAGAAAATTGTTATTTTAAACGCATAGTAATTCTTTATTTAAATAGTAACAGCATAATTGTTTTTTAAAAAAAACAATAATATGGCGAGGTCATTTTATACTAACGCAAACCTTTTGTATCAGCAGGACAACCTGGTGATGTTCTTTTATACAGTTTTTTACAAAAATTTATTTTTGTTCAAGTTAAGTTTTTCCAATTTTAATTAATTTTATGCTATCCCAGTGGTTAAAGGGCCTAAAATAGACGGCTTTTGAACATTCAAAAGGCGTCTTTTTTACGTCCTGTGCCCACAGGGATATTAACATATGAGAAATAACTATGGATTAAACTAAAGTTTTTTTTCGTAAACTAAAGTCAAAATGAAAATTTTTATTTTAAACGCATAGTAATTCCTAATATTAATAGTAATAGCATAATTGCTTTTTAAAAAAACAATAATATGGCGAGGTCATTTTATACCAACGCAAACCTTTCAGCAAGAACCTGGCGATGTTCTTTTATACATCTTTTAACAAAAATTTATTACGCATTTAAAATTGCCAGTATGAGACGGGGTTGTTAAAAAAGACATTGTCGCTCGTTTCTATATGGCAAGTAAAAAGTACATTTAAAAAAATTATTTTTTGCAACGATATCATTACAAATATTTATTCCGTAAAATTTTTTTTTTTAATTTATTTAAACACGAAAATAATCATTCTTATTTTATAAAGCGGCCGCGGCGCAGTGGTTAGAGTGCTTACTTAAGAATCAAGATCTCGAGTACGAACCTTTGGGGAATAATTCGTGCAATTGGTAAGGAAGGAAGCGTTAGGTTACTATTTAAATGCTCTTCCGCAATTGAAAAGACCGTTAGGTCTTCTTGGGGCACATAAAAACAAAAACTAAAACTGACGATTGTGCCCCTTCACTTCGAAACCCGTGTCTTCTGCACTGAAATGTATCGATGCAACTCTTATATAGTTATAAAACATAGTACGAAATTGCGTCCTTAGATACCTAAGGTACACACACATATAGCAATTACACAAATAATGTAAGAAAAAGAAAATAAATGAAGTATTTAAAAAACAAATATATTCACAAAACATTTACATCTTAATATAATTTTCGTGATAAAAAAATAATTTCAATTTTTGTCTACATAAAATAGCAGGTTAAATTTGCGGGATAAATACTTAAATAATTTTTATTTTTTAAAACTATCTTAACAAAAGATATTCTATATTTTTATCATCACCAAAAAAGTTTAATCGTCTACATAAAATTTTACAAGAAATAAATAATATATATATACATATATATATATATATATATATATATATATATATATATATATATATATATATATATATATACACATATACACACACACACACACACACATATATATATATATATATTAGGGTGGGTCAATAAATTTTTTTTTCTTGTTACAGGCTGTAAACATTGCTAGAAAGTTGTTTTTTTATGTACTAATTTAGGAAAGTATTTACTTTTATGGATTGAACAATGTCTTCCACCCGCAACTATAATTACAAAAATTAGCAGGCCCTATTATTAATCAAAAAAAAAGTTTTTCAAAATTATGTGATAAAGGTACTCAAATAAAGCGAAATTTTATAAAAATTTCAAAAATAATAATTTTTTCATATAAAAATTATTATTTTAGATTTTATTGCATAATAACTATAGTTTTTTAACTAAAAGTAAAAAAGGTGCATTTTTACATGTTTTTTAAGAACAACTTTTTTTAGCAATATGATTTTTATAAAACGCTTATTATTTTCGAATTTTTTATAAAATTTCGCTTCTTTTGAGTACCAGGTTGACCTACTTTTGAAAAACTTTTTTTCTCCAAAATATTATAGTAACAATATTAATAACTATTAGCAATGTTTAGAGCCTGTAACAAGAAAAAATTTTTTTGACCCACCCTAATATATATATAGAGCCTGTAACAAGAAAAAATTTTTTTGACCCACCCTAATATATATATATATATATATATATATATATATATATATATATATATATATATATATATATATATATATATATATATATATATATATATATATATATATATATATATATATATATATACACACACACATACATAAAAAAATATATAAAGATATTTATATTTCCTATTTGACAATCTATCATAAATTGTGAAATCCAAAGAAGTTTTAAAAACTAACATAAGTATAACAAAACATTGTGTATAGAAACATAAATTTAAAAAAAGTATTGTGATAAACCTAGAGCAATATTAATATTTAGTAAGAAATTTAACTTCATTATTCATATCAATATTATAAACAAGAATATCAGTCTTTAAAAATGTTAATAGCCAAAACTACTGTATTTTAAATTTATATAATAAAAAACCTACAGTTGGACAAATCACTGCAATAAAACAAAAGCAAAAAAAATAATGCGTCCATTTATATGAACCCAAAGAACCTAAAGGTTCCACAGAACTCTTCTGTACATTTGGAAATACAAAGTCGGTTTTTACTAAATTCAGAACTTCGTCATTACTGACAGTAGAGTCTAATACTGCACAACTTTGTTCAATTCTTTTGTCTATAACATTAAGATAATCAACAATATTTAAATCATGTTGATCAACAATAAATTGACCAGTTTTAACATGTTTCACAGAATTATCTGCAAGAAGACTACGCAATTCACTTTGTTCGTCAGATGTATCATTGTCATCTGACAAATAATCTAGCTCATTTTTAATATCAAAATTTTCCATATGAAACGATTCCTTTGTTGTATCTGAAGGGTGTTGATACTTCAAGGATTGTTCACTTTCTTCATTTTTACAAAACTCTTCATGCAGTATACTATTTGGTAAAACTGGGATCTTTACAGTCTTCAAACCATGCAAGTCTTGTTCTTTATAAATTTTATTGGCTAACTTGATATCAGATATCTAAAAATTATATGTTGATAATAAATTAAAATAAAACATATATGATTCAGGGCTCGAATAACAAAGCAACTTTAAACTCACACACGAAAAAAGTTAGCACCCAATAATAGTAGTTATAAATGAATTTATAGAAACAGTTGCGGTTAAATGCAATTAAAAATAGATTTAGCATTAAAATTAATGTTATTAAATAATTACCTATAAACTTAGCATCTACATTTTAACAAACTACTTTAGGGCAACCTGGTAACACCACTTTAAAAATATAATAAACAACCTTTTTAAAAATATAATAAAGGACCTCTCATTAAAAATAACTTTTTAAGACAAAATTTTACTTTAATCAATCAAAAGCTTAGGTGTTAAATAAAGTTTTAAATATGAGCACAATGAATCAGTAATACATCTATTTGGTTTTGTACATATAATATATATATGTTAGAAGTTACTATTGTAAATAATTTAGTAAATAAATTAAAAATTAATTACAAAAATGTAACTGATTACTAATTAAGTAAAGAAAACTAAGTATTAAGTATTAATTCGGGTTGATTCCAGCCTTGAACGACTTGATACTTAAAGACACTGAGTGGACTTTATAGTCAATATTAATTTGTTTTTATTTATTCAACCAAAAATTGAAAAATTAAAAAATTTTATTAGGGTATTTTTTAAAGTTAGTTTACATGTCACTCATATAGTTAAAACTAGTCAATGGAGTGACACCTATATAAAATTAAAAAAAAAAAAAATCAACAACAATGTTAATAGTAATAATAATAGTAATAAATAAAAGCATGCATAAATTAAAATGATAAAACAAATAATGATGAAAATATAAAATCACATACTAATGTTAATAATATAATAAAAATTAATTTACAGTAATAAACTTATGTTCATATTATAACAATGATAGAATTTACAACATGCAACTATAACAATACTAATTATATTAATGTTGAGCAATAATAACAATAATTATAATATTAGTAATAAAATCAGTTAATAGTTTTTATAAACACAATATTAGCAATAACTAGAAAGTTATATACACAAAGTTAGAAAGTTACAACAGTTTGAAATTGATAAAAAGTAACAATTTACAATTATATAAAACAATTATAGTAATTAAAAAAAAGAGATAAAGTAATAATTATAATTAAAATAACAGTAACATATAATATATAATAATTAAAGTAACAGTAACAATAAATATAATAATTTGTTATATATCAATATTGAATTTATTGCTGCCGTTACCCATTCGTGAGTGTTTAACACAAAACTCACAGCAACCATTAGACCCGAGTTATTGATGAGAAAGAGTTGCAGCAGTTTAGTTCTTAGAAAGAGCGGACAGAATTGCATGCAAACATCTATCTTATTCGAATTTACGTAAAGTTTATTTTAAATTTTACAGTTTTAATTTTAATTGAAAAATGCATTGTGGCAATATCTTCTTTAATATCTTCTTTAATTTTATTTATTATTATTTGCTGTGTAAGGTCTTTAATTAATTAAATAGTTTGAGAATTATTAGATTAGTTTTTCTTAGTGGCTGTAGTGATTAGTTTGCTGCACTTTGAAAGTACAAATCAGGGGTTTAAATTTTGTCGCTTGCACAATTTATTAGAGAAAAAATGTTTTAGCAAGCTACAGTATAAAGTTTACTTTATATCATGTCATTGTAATTATTTTTTTGATTTTTAGGTGCCCTAAGAAATCCTTACGGTCTTATCACAGAGCACTTCAGAAGAAGATTTGAAAGGATGCTCACTCCTTCCTTACTGATATTATAAAACTTGCACAGAGGCGGTGTTAAACCACGGATCTCTAGCTTCTTAGGCTGCTCAGTTTAAAAGTAGTTTAAAAAGCCTGCAACTTTTAAAGAACGCTTTATCTTAGCAACAAAGAGGTATTAAGATAATTAAACTTAGAATTAAAAAGACAGTGTGCTCATTTTAGTAATGTCACTAGTTTTTTTTCCCTTTAACAAACAATAAACAGAGTAAAATTTGGAAAAAATGTTTTTAGTTAATTAGATATAAAAAATTCAAAGTATATTGTAAAAAAAAAAAGTCATTTTGCAACCTTTATTAAATTTTGAATAATGTTACAAAATATTAGTGGAAGTATTTTTGAAATACATCCTGGTTATTTGTGTATATAATAAAACTTGTTTATAAAATTTATAAAAAAATCTATAGAATCTTTTTGTTCAAAACTTTTTCACATCAATTATAAATAACTCATGATATTTTTAGAACACGCATTTAATTCTTTATAAACAAAGACCCAATAACATTTGCCATGTGCTATTGGTCCTTGCCTAAAAGAGAGTTGGCTTCATTAGAAGACCCAAACCAAATATGACCATAGCTTTTTTTAAAGCGTTAAGCTGTCGGCAACTTACATACAAATTACGTACACCTAGAGCGATTTACATGAAGCAACTTTTGATATTTTTTTAACTTTTAAATTGCTCTATTAAGCAGTAAGATAAAAGAAGTAATTAATTTTATAAAAAACCACTTTGACAATTATGTAAAAAAATATGAATGACAATTTAAGCGCTATTTACTAACTGTTTATGTTAATTTTATTTTTATTTTGTTTTATGGTAATGATCAATTGTTTTGCTTGAAAAGCGCAAATATTAAATGCAAACAAGCTTCGAGCAAACCAATACAAAATATATAATAAAAATAAGACTTGCAATGTCATACTTTATATAAAACATTTATTTAAATTTTATTTATTTTTAACAGCAGCTTTACATAATTAGAAAGTTTAAGCATACAAGTGTTATGCCGAGGCAGTGGTAACAATACAAAAGAATTTCTCATAAATAATTAATAAGTCTTAGAGAAACTTCTTTTCTAACACATCTTGTTAAAAACGTATGCTAGAAATCTTATTTCTTACCACTGCTTAAAAACGTACATTTCGTGAATAAATAATGTTTAAAGCTGATACTTTTGTTTTGCATTAATATTTTTGAGGTTAACATCTCTCTAACTCCCTATGTCATCTTTAAATTTAAAGTAAACTTTGCTGCAGATATTCTAGTAAGATCGCCTTGATTGTTCATACTTAAAACTTAAAAATAAGTCATGAAAATTAATGACTTAAAAAGCGCGCACGTTGAAAGTTTTTCATGTTTAACATTTTTTAAATTTGCTGTGGTAGCAAACTTGCTTGCGTTTATACAAACACCGCCGCCTGTATGCTTAAACTCTCTATCAACGGAATATGTACTATTCAAAAAGTGGACAGAAATGTTCTTAAAACTTAAAAGAAAATTGATTAAAAAATTATTTAAATTAATCTTTTAATTTTTAATATGTTAAAGGTATGTGTAATATTCAGACTTTTCGATAAAGTTAGCACTCACAGCAATTTTTACCCAATTTTTTTTAGTAGAAGATATATTTATTATTAAAGTTATGTATAACCTCAAATATTAAATTTTTGGAAAATGCATTTTTTTTATTTTTACTTTTTTAAAGTAGTAAAAGGATGCATACAATTAACTGTTATTCGCAGCATTTAATTGACGTTCTGTTGATGATGATGATGTCTTCAACAAGAGAGGCAATAAAATTTTTAAGAAAACATAAATTTATTAAATTTAGATAAATCATGAATACAGTATAATTTCCAATTAACACTTCTAAGGCGTCAATAAGAAATTTCCTAATGAAGGCGCAGATTGTAAACACCATGAAATTAATAATAAGGCACATTTTAATGACAGTTGTTATAGTTCACTAATGACTATTTATATTTCTATATAAATGAAGACAAACTAGGATATATAAAAAGTTTACTATTTCTATTCTTTACCAAATTTTTAAAGTTAAAATATGGATAGTACTTTGAAAAGTAAGAGAGTTACTTTGAAGATTTTAATAGCTGGTTGTTTGTCAAGGATTTTCAAATTGAAACCATTACAGAAAAAGAAACTACTTATGTAGTTAAAATCATATGTAAATTGTGCGCTCTTCTATTTTATTAAGAACTAATGGAGCAGTAAAAGCAGCTGCCTTACAATATATAAATGTTACAAGTAATATTAAAAAAGATAGCACTTGTAGACATATATCAAGCAGGAATCACCAATATGCTATGCAATTGGAAAATGAAGATTTTGACAATAATAAAAAAGCAAAAAATGTAAGGGTTTAATATAAATTATTGATGTTTTATTTTAATAACTTCTTTTATTTTCAAGCTATTTCAATTTAAAAACAAATAAGTTAATAGCAGGCCGTCGAGAGCGGTCACACCGCTGCCCAGAACTTTTGCCTCTAAAGTAAATCAAAAATGTAAACAAATTACAAAAAATCGCCTCAGTTTGATCTCTATCTAATTTTGGTCATTTAAGAATAAAAAGAAAAAAGTAATTTAATTTTTACAATTTTTTTTAAAATAATATTTGTTGCGACTTAGTAAATTTAAATCCATAAAAAAAGATATTGTTAATTTGGCAACCTTCTGATATAATTTGTTTAATTTTTTTATTTTCTTTTGAACTTTTCTTTTGATTATTAACTGTTATTTCTTTTTTTTTAACATTACTTTAATTTAAAATGTTTCGACACTCGTAAATTATGCTATTGGGAGTGTAACTTATTTCGTGCGTTTCTTTTCAAAAAATGAGGTTTTATTGTGAAAAAATGGTTATACATTTAATGCTCAAAGTTTTGTCCATCAATAGCTATGACATTTGCCCACCATTCTGTCAGGTTGTGGAACTTCTCCAGCTTGGAGAGCCAAAAACAAATCAAGCTAATTTTTGATACCATCAAATGAAGTGAAGCGTATTCTGGTGAGGGCATTCTGCATCAATTGGAACAAGTGGTAGTCAGAAGGGGCTATAAGGCGGGTGAGGTAAAACTTCCCAGCCGGTGTTTATCAAATAATTTTTAACCAGTCTTGCAACATAAGGCTGAGCATTGTTATGGTGGAAAATTATGGCCTCGTGTCTGGTCACA